GAGAGAGAGAGAGAGAGAGAGAGAGAGAGAGAGAGAGAGAGATTAATAGATACGGAATATTTTAAATACGTAGACTGGCAGAGACATAGATTTGTAGAGCGAGATTTTGCCAATCCAAGTGTAGTTTGGAAAATTTGTGGCAAGTTGGCAACCATGTTGGAATTTGTTGTGATGTGAGGTAACTCGTGTTTTCCATTTCATGGGTGATGCCGGCTTGGCAACTCTACATCAGCCTGTAAGCGCAAAGAAGTCGGCAAACCTCTTCATGAACGCCACAAGTCGTGGACTACCCGCCACACACGGACTGTGCAAACTCCGTCACACAAGGCACGAGCACAGTGGACCTCGCGAGGAGTACTTTCGACCTCCCGATAGGAACTGTCCCGTCGCTCGTTGCACAAGTACCGCCTTCTATGGAGATGAGGAGTTATCCCCCTTACGACATTAGTGGATCAGCAGCACAACCCTTCGTAAGTGCGGTCACGCAGCAAGTAAGTGTCGCAATGCACATGGGCGTACAAGAGCGACACGGTAACGCAACCCTTATTCCCACAATGGTGGGGAATCCGTTTGATCCGCGGACATCAGCTTACCCCTCCCTCAACAGCAGGAATCGTTTCACAGCCGAGCCTTCATTGTCCACGCAGGTGCCAGTGAAACGATTACGAGAGGTCTTCGAGGCAGGTGGGTTGGAGCATATATTATGCAATTCGGATGATGACGTCGACGACGGGGTTGCCGACGAATCCAGCGACGAATTTGGAGATGGCGAACCGGTGACAGGTGCCTCTCTCTCTCGGCCAGTTGATGAATAGTTTATAGTTCGTGTTGGGCAAGAGTTCGCCAACATCGCTGATCTTCGGAAGGCCGTCGCCGACGATGTGGTGAAGAAAACGTACGAGTTTGGGATTGTGAAGTCAGATCCGACAAGGTACACGATGAAATGCCAGGCAGAAGGTTGCGGATTGCGGCTCCACGGGTCAGCGGTGCATGGTGGACCAACGTTCAGGATCAAGTCATTGACCACACACTGCTGCGGAGGTGTGAGCAAGCCTTCCAACAACGTCGTCAACGCTGCTTGCGTGTCACGGTGGATAGAACCGCGACTGCGTGACAAGCCACTACTCGCCCGTCGACATTGTGAAAGACATTTACCGGCAACATAAAGTGACTATCAAGTACAGGCTTGCATAGCCGGTGAAAGAAGTGGCGAAGGCCAGAATTGTCGGGCTGGATGACGACGGGTTTCGCAATCTACGGATGTAGTGTGACGAGGTTCAGCATTCAAACCCGGGGACCCGCGATTTTGTGCAAATGGAGGACGGATGTTAGCGCTTCAAGCGCATGTTTTATGCACTGGAGGCATGCGTGGCGGTTTTCATGCACTGTCGCCTGCTCCTCGGCCTTGACGACACTTTCTCGAAGACAAGATACAACGGCATTCTCTTAAGTGCAACAGGTGTGGATGCTGAGGGTCACCTTTTCCCAGTAGCGTTCGCTATCGTGCTTGGTGAGGACAGCGATAACTGGTTCTGGTTCCTCCACCATCTTAGTGCGACCATCCAGTCACGGGCTGCCAACGATGAGATTATAACCTTCTTGTCCGGTCGAGACAAGGGTCTCATCGACGTGGCGACCGATGTTTTTTCGCGCTCTCCACATGGATATTGCATGCGTCATCTAAGTGAGAACGTCAAGAAGCGGAACAAGGGGCCCGAGTACCAGAAATTGTTATGAGCAGCCTCAAAGGCGGACACAGTTGCGGAGTTTGAAAATTTGGTTGCACACATGCGTGCACTGGACCCTGACACGACAACGTGGCTTTTACGTACATGTGATTTTGCGCATTGGGCTGATGCGCATTTCGAGGGACGACGCTATGGCCACTACACATCCAACATAGCAGAGTCTCTTAACAGTTGTTTATGGAGGGCAGGGAGAAACCGACCATGTTTATTATGGAGGACATCCGTCGCCGACTGTGCGAACGTTTCCTCCGCCGACGCACTCCAACAACACAAATCCAAACTATCCTTGTCCCGGAGGTGGAGCACGCGGTGACGGTGTGCAGACAAAAAGGTCGGAGATATCATGCAGTCCCGACGATTCACGACGAATGGCGACATATTTGAGGTCTTGTGTGGGAACAGTTTGCATCATGTTGTTTTGAGCGAGAGATAGTGTACATGCGGGTGGTAGTAGTCAAAAGGCATTCCTTGCCCTCATGCAATCGTAGTCATTCTTAGCACAAACTAGTGCCCGCAGGATGTTGATTGCATTAGAAAAACGTGGTGGGGTTAGAAATCCATTGCTGTAATTGTCACGAACTGAAACTGCAAATTTTTGAGTCGATGCGGTCTATCATGCAGTAGAGTTAGTATGCTAGTAGAACTGTAGAAGTACATTAGTGAGATGTATTCAGAGTTGATCCTCATGTGTGTGTTGTAGCAGAGAGTGTGCATGTGTGTGAAAAGAAAAGACTTGTGTAGAGTTTCGGTGAGGAACACTTAGACAAGTGAGAGACAGGAGGCAGAGAAAGCTATGGTTGGGACTTACCTTATCTAGCGCTGGGTTCCAGACTCTTGCTGTTCGAAGAAGACTTGTAATCTTGTTGAGAGGTTGATAACTGAACTGTCGACTCTCTCGATATAATGTGGTTGTGAAATTTGAGCTGAGCTTCCTGGTTTACTAATCATCATCTACCTGTGCAATATGTGACAATGCAATCTGCCTGACATGCATGCTGATGTGAGCACTCCTTGGTGTGATGAACTTTGAGGTTCATTGCACTCACGGGAACTGCTGATATCCCACTTTCCTGTTGAGTTTTCATCGCACAGGCAATACTACAAAGCACACTCAAACGTGGAAATCTTCAGCAAATTGGACAACCACAGAGCGACACACAGAAAGCTACACGCTGCAGAAACTTAGAAATCGGACTGTACCTAAGGGTTCATTTCAGGCTACAAAGATAACGTATATACTTTCATATGATTGTGCGTTGTGTGTCAGGGAAATATCGTAGCATGAAAAAGGGTATCCAAGAACTCTCTAACACCAGCAGTTAATGCATTAAACTGTCATGCTCGCCAATGTTGTGGCATCACCTATTCAATTACATGCGGGTCTGTATGTGGATCCTGTCCAAGGCACATATGAAAGCATGAAATGTTTGGTCTGCATCAATGAATAAGATGGAATCCCAAACATGGATAGAAAGCTAGCTAAGCAACTTACCAAGTATCGGGTTAGAGTCATCCACATCACACTCGTTTCTTCACAAATGACTCCAGTTAGATACATTCAGGAAATCAATATTTTGAAGTTTGAACAACAAGGTGTTCAATGTTTTCCAGAGGGAGACTATCTGCTTGCCATTCCACGAAGCTACGTCCCTACTATCATGCTGCTGCTGTCATGTTGCTATAGCACTTGACATGGTGATGAGAGGCCCCGAATCAATAGGAAAGGGATGTTCAACAACAAGAAATCCACCTGTGCCACTCGCTGGTAAAAGGGAACAAAAAGAGAGAGAGAGAGAGAGAGAGAGAGAGAGAGAGAGAGAGAGAGAGAGAGAGAGAGTATCCACAAAGATAATGTGCATCGCAGAGGCCGCAGGACACGTGAAATTACCCAGCCAGAGTGTCCTGGTGTCGTTGCAGTTGCACACAAGCAAGGGCGTGGCAGAAACATGGGAACACTCACAAATTTCTGTCATGCCCCGGTAGCTCTCTCCCAGGCCGGTTGGAAATTCCCCTGACTGCCTCCAACGGCAACAGGGGCACATTGAAAAGATGGTTGGTGCCGGTAGGGGCATATCGGAAATTTACCCAACCGCTATCCGGTAGGGGCATGACGCAAATTTGATGTGGGTACCGGTAGGGGCACTACGAAAACACATGAGGCCCAAACGACACCAGGGTTGTATGGGAAATTTCACTGCTCGTCAGAGGGGCGCGGCAGGGTAAATCCGATGTCCGAGGGGCACTACGCAAATTAATGGAAAATACAGGGGCGCCGGACAAATTATCCCCTTATTTTTTTTCGTTTTCCGTCGTATGGGCTTAGCACACCTACGGACACTTTTACATCGCAGGTCCTCATGGGTACTGCCCCCTTCATGGGTCGTCATGGGTATGACCACGTCATCGTCAGCGCTATGCCTGGGCTGAGTAAACACGGAGAACCTCGCCGTTCGTTCGGGCAAAAAAAAGAACAGTCTTGCTAAGTCGTACCCTCACGGGCCGTCACGGATCGCCAGCCAGTGTTGGAGCAATGTTCCCGATAAAATAAATGGCCATACCCTTCGCTCACTCATAAACGTAGCAGTGAAGCGATGTAGCGACGCAGCGATTGTCCATACGCTGATCGGGACAGTCTCGTCAGTAGCTGAAGCACGCAGGGGGGGAAGCAGCCGATCGCTGGAGTGGGAGTCTGGTGTTCTGCGCAGTGATTTCAAGACGGGATCGCTCCAGTCTGTGTGCAAGCCATTGTGATTGTGAACACCGATCAACAGGATGGCCATGGCGTTGACGAGCGCAGGCAGCCTCCATTCGATTGCACCACCCGGTGTGATTGCATGTGAGCGGCGATATGCAGAATCTGGTGCCCGCGCAAGGAGAGTGCGGACATGGCTGCTATCCCTGAGTGGCGGAGGAGCGTCGACCCAAGCAGCTTCTTCGCTCTCTGAACCTGACATCTGTCGGGCAGAGCGGCATGTATGTGCTGCTCGCAGCGGTGTCCCGCTGAATGTGGGACTCGGTTCCACGAGGCCAAGCAAGGTGGGACTTGGTTACACAAGGGCGAGCAGGAAGTCCCGTTCAAGACCATTTTGGCTGGCGGCAGTGAGATCTGAAGGTGATGAGGGCAGGAGAACGTCTGGAGGTAGCGAGGGAAGGGACGGCAGCAATCCCTTGCGCTTCGTGCGGTGGTTTAGGTCGAAGTTGAGCACGTTCTTTCCCTCAGGAGAGGGACAGAGAGAGGCGAAGTCGGGGGACAAAGGGAACTACAACGTCTACTACACTGTGAAAAATGGTGATACTCTGGAAGGTATCGCGGACAAGTTCGACGTCCCCCGCCATTTTCTGATGGAGGTCAACGATATTGAGGGCAGTAAGAAGTTGAGTGCGGGTCAGGTTCTGTGGATTCCGCATGTGTACGAAGTGAAGAGGGGTGACACGCTGGACAGCATTGCGGAGAAGTTCGGTGTGCCCAAGTCGAGGCTGCGGGAGGTCAATGGTATTCAGGACGCTGATTCGATATCTAGCGAGGACGCATTGATAATCCCGCCTACGGAAGTTGAGAGCAGGGCGGGAGGAAAAGGCCGTGAAGGGGAGCGCCAGGGTGTTCACAGTGGGATGGGAGGATCGACGTCCGGCACGGCAGGGACGACGGGCAGCGCAGGGCAAGGAGGAGGATCAACGACGGGGACGGCGGGTAGGAGCGGTACCTCAGGGGGGCCAGGCGGAGGATCAACGTCCGGGGCGCGGGTGGCACATCTGCAGGGCAAGGAGGAGCTGGAGGGGTGGGTGGCTCATCTGCAGGGCGAGGAGGAGGGTCAACGACGGGGACGGCGGGGACGGCTGGTACGAGCGGTACCACAGGGCAAGGCGGAGGATCAGCTTCATCGACGACGGGGACAACGGGTGGGTCGGCAACCCGCGGAGGGCAGGGGGATGCAGGGCAAGGAAGTGGATAGGGCAGGGGATCCGCTGGCCAGTAAAGCCGAGAGAGTATTGTACCTCAGGGTAGGGATGAAGAGGGTTAAGAGGTTCGTCTCAGATCATGAAACGCAGTGGAAGTGCTTCATGGATGCGTGGACGCAGACCGAGGAGAGAAGGACTGGGATCGGTGTCCGTTAATCTTTCTCGTACCGCCATGTAGAGTATGGAGATAGGACATGGGACGCGGAAGGGAGGTAGGCGCTGAGGGCTAGGACGTGTGGTGGAGGATGTTCAGGGTGTGGATGCGGGAGGATCCTCAGGGTGTGGCTGGGTGGAGCTCACGGCTTCCTCATACTTACCTTATCAAGAACCCTTATGCTCTATGAGGTGGGAAGAGAAGTCGCACGTTTTCGCAAGAAGTGCACTCGCGATGGCACTGAAGGTATTACATCTGCTTGGGCGTCTGGCGTCTCGTCCTCATCAAACGGATGTGCTCGACGTATTGTTGATGCGTTGGTATCGATGATGGCAAGGAGGAGGAGGCCGAAGGAGAGGGTGCTCAAGGAGATTTCGCTGCACTGTCTATGGTCACAAAGCTGTACATTACAGGAGTCCAATGGAGGCAAGAGTCGCTACAGGATTGCGTAGCCAGAGCTACAAGCGAGGTGGATGTGCCGTCACAAACTTGTTGTACATTAGGTGTCCGAGGACCGAGGGAGGGAAGAATCATTGCAGGGTTGGGCAGCCAGGGGTTTAAAGGAGTCGGTTGAGGGTTGGCTCGTATAGTGTTCTTTTTGCTGCCGTTTGGTGTCGACTTTCGAGGGTAGGGAATGAGGTGTGTGTTGATGTTCCGTTCGCTGATAATCCAATTTCTTTCTCCACAAAATGCTGCGTATCGCGATAGTATCGCGCTGTGTGAGCAGGCCTTTTAGCTTGTACACATAGGATAGTATCACGGTATCTGACCGGCCTTACAGCTTGTATACATTCGTGATTAGCGTGCGTTCCCCAAAGGGAATGAAGATAGTATCGATTGTGGGAGTAAGAGATCTTGACCGTGGTATGTCGTCAGCTTTGCATCTCTTTTTTTTTTTTTTTTTTTTCCCGGTCGGCCTGTAAAGTTTGCATGCCATTTTTTTTCTTGCCAAGGACAAGAAAAAACAGGAAGAGGGGAAACGAGGACTGTTGGGGAGAGAGAACACATGCCATTTTTTTTTTTGCCAAGGACAAGAAAAAACAGGGAGAGGGGAAACGAGGACTGTTGGGGAGAGAGAACATATCAAATGGACGACGTGGCCTTCTTTAAGTGGAGGTTTATTATGGTGAAGGTCAGAAGGAGTACTTGTAGTAGTAAACCTGTTAGGGAATACCCATGCTAGCGCTTTCGTAAATGCATGTGACTGCAATTACGGCCGGAGCAGGATGAATCTGACTGCAAGTACGTCCACAGCTTAGTAGGAAAAACCGCCATGCTAGCGCTTTCGTAAATGCATCTGACTGCAATTACGGCCGGAGCAGGATGAATCTGACTGGAAGTACGTCCACAGCTTAGTAGAAAAAATCGCCATGCGAGCGCTTTCGTAAATGCATGTGACTGCAATTACGGCCGGAGCAGGATGATGAATCTGACTGCAAGTACGTCCACAGCTTACTAGGAAAAATCGTAATGTGGTATGCCCTTAATCGCTTTTGAAAAAAGATAAAAATAGAAACGCCGAGACAAGTCGACTTCCCACTTGTTAGTCGCTAGAAAAAAAAAAAAAAAAAAAGAAACGCCACCCGCAAGTCGACTTGCTGATTCCACATCCTGAATCGGTCGACGGAAGAAGTCTCTTCCGATCTATTTTTAGGTTCTTTTGAACGGTCAGATCACCACTAGCGCGGTACCACTGAGATGTTTCGGCGTGTTTTCACTTTCAGGATCTTTCTTGGCGTTATCGGCTTGTTTTCACCGTCCAATCCGATATTTTAGGTTTCTGTTGAACTATCGGCTCGTCCACAACGTGGTACTGCCGAAATGTTTGGGCATGTGTTCACAACGTTCATGATCTTGCTCGTCATTATTGGCTTGTTTTCACTTCCAGGATCTCTCTTGGAACTAAGGAGGGAAAAAAAAAAAAAAAAAAAAAATCTTGCTCGTCATTATTGGCTTGTTTTCACTTCCAGGATCTCTCTTGGAGCAAAGGAGGAAAAAAAAAAAAAGAAAAAAAAAAAGAAAAAAAAAAAAGGAAGGACTCGTTATGGCATGCACGCGAACTCAGTTCGTTCTTTACATTTCGGGGAAAGGCCGAGTTGGCCAATTGCGATCTTTGACAAAAAGACGAATTCAATTTTTTTGAATTTCGCGGGAGGATGGGATATTCGCTGAGTGAAGGAAAGTGACTGTGGAATTTCATGTGGTTGATCTAAGTCGTGCGTTTTCGATTGTAAAGTCGATGCGTTTTGGTTGTTGTACCGACTGTGACGCTGTGCTGCTATGTGCGACCGGCGATGCGTTTTTGGTTGTACCGACTGTGTGCTGGGTGCGCCTGGTGTTATTTCTCTCTCTCTCTCTCTCTCTCTCTCTCTCTCTCCGTGGTCTCTTTCGTTCTCTCTCACAGTGTATGTTTGACAGGCGATGTCTTTTGGTTGTAAGAAGTGTGTGCTGTGTGCGCCGGGTGTTCTTGTGTCTGATTCTCTCTCTCTCTCTCTCTCTCTCTCTCTCTCGGTCGCTCGCTCGCTCGCTCTCTCTCTCTTCCCCCCGAATGATTGTTGAGTTTCTCACACACTCAGACAACGCATCTCACGATCGCAGCCTAGGCATTTGCATTGAATTTCGGGTTAATTGCAAAAATATTGTGTTACCGAAGTTGGACAGCAAAAATATCGTTGGTTTCGGCAGCAGCTTTAACGGGTCCATCAAGTTTCCCAGCAAAAATGCCGCTTTTTCAGGACTGCGACAGCATAGGACGCGTCGGCCTCTGGCCTCAGGGACTCAGGGACTCAGGGACTCAGGCTAGAGACCCACCATCAGGCCGGTAGCGGTACCGGCCTGGACCAAAACCGATTGTCAATAGCCCGAAACGGTACCGGCCATTTGATTTTCCCGATTTTCTCCCTTTTGCACTCAGCCGAGTGACGTTCAAAAAATCCTAACGTGTGAACACTCCATCCCAACGCGCGCACGTGGCAAGCAGGGAAGCACCCTGAAACTGCTTGAGAGAGAGAGAGAGAGAGAGAGAGAGAGCCACCAGCTTCCCTGGTTCGCACTGCTACGTTCTTTTCGACATGAATCTGGCCGAGTGTACGCACTATATTCAGTCGAACTGATTCTAGCACCAAGATGTGGCCGGGTTCGTCCTGAAATGTTCATCGTATGGCACATGGCACTGCCACGTGGCGCACGGTGCCACGTGCCCGACCCCTCTCTCTCTCTCTCTCTCTCTCTCTCTCTCTCTCTCTCTCTCTCTCTCTCTCAAGCAGTTTCACGGTGCTTCCCTGCTTGCCACGTGCGCGGGTTGGGAGGGAGGGTTCACACGTTCGGATTTTTTGAACGTCACTCGGCTGAGTGCAAACGGGAGAAAATCGGGAAAATCAAATGGTCAGTACCGTTTTGGGCCATGGACAATCGGTTTTGGTCCAGGCCGGTACCGCTACCGGCCTGATGGTGGGTCTCTGGCCTGAGTCCCTGAGTCCCTGAGGCCAGAGGCCGACCCGTCCTTATGTGTCCGACAATTCTCCCGAGTCTGGTTAATTCGCCAGTGAACTGTGGTTAATCTGCCGGTCAACGATGTGCACCTAATTGAGAGGTAAGCGACAAATTCTCCCGAGTATGGTTAATCCGCCGGTCAACTGTGGTTAATCTGCCGGTCAACGATGTGCACCTGATTGAGATCTCGAAATAAAGCCGTTGGCGTGGCGCGGCGCGGCGTGGCGTGGCGTGGTGTGGAGTGGGTGTTGTAGTATTGCTGTTAAAATTTGCTGAAGGTGAGTTCAGTTTGCCTGGGAAGGTTCTGTTTGAATTATGAGGGGGGAGGAGATTGAGAGTGCTGCCTTCTTCACACATGAATAGAACACCGATGGTCTTTTCGCCGCATTTGGATTGAAATTTGCACCAAATACAGGAGCAGTGGGCTGTAATGACCAGACGGGCCTTCTATTTGGGCGGATGAAGACGGTAGCAAGGCAGTTTCGCGTTTTCACAGCCACCGTTTTCACATAGACTTGTGGGTTGCGGATGTCGGTTGCGTAGGTGGGCGGGCATGTCCAAGTATAGAAAGCGGGTCTTTCTGTTCAAGGCATCTAGGAAAAAAGAATTAGAGCCTTGTTCAACACCACTTGAAAATACTTAGAGTTTCAAGTGCACACTAAACAAAAAATTGTGATGAGTTTACACTAAGTTAACTCCATTTATGATTCCATGTACACTTGAGGAAACCCTTGAACCGGATCTCTGCACACTTGAAACCGAGCTCCGCGGCTTGCTGACCAATCAATCCTGGACCACCATAGCCTGCTGGAAAAGTTGAGAGAGTGGTGACCGAGTAAGGGCGTCGTTGGACACCACTGGAAAATACTTGAGTTTCAAGTGCACACTAAACGAGAAATTGTGATGAATTTACACTAAGTTAACTCCATTTATGGTTCCATGTACACTTGAGGAAACCCTTCAACCAGATCTCTGCACACTTGAAACCGAACTCCACGGCTTGCTGGCCAATCAATCCTGGACCAGGATCGCCTGCTGGAAAAAAAAAGAAAAACAAAAAAAGGGCCCCACTTGGAGTGCTGGGGGTATCCGCTGGAACTTGAACTCAAGGTACCTCCAGTTCAAGTTTGATTTTGCCCCAGCGGCAATGAAGCAGGAAAGTGAAAACATTAGGGGGGGTCATTAGGGAGCGGTGGAACTAAGAAGTTGTGCACCCTTGAGTTTCATGTGGTGTCATTCGTAGTATGCATACAGTCACTTTAGTAGACGGCCACCCATTTTAATTGCAAGTAATATCCATCCTCACATTGTCTGCCGCATGTTTCATACATTGTCAGACTTCGTTCTAATGGTGCTTTAACTTGGTGATCATCATCTTCTCTGCCTACAGTTAGGAGATCATAATTGTGCTATGAAAATGCTTTTTACCGTATTTGTTCTGCCTTTGCTGCTATTAATCGCCATTCCTGCATATTTTTGTTGGCGTGGTTTTCGCTGCTCTGCCATCATAGCGTGAAGGTCCAGGAGCAGGCGCTTTTCGGTATCAAAGCGGCCAACGGTGCTGCAATCGAAGATGCGTGAGTATGGCTATGTTTAGAATAATTTTTTGTTCTTGCATAGCTATTGTACTTGTATTCTAGGTAAGAACACGCACAGGGACGTACGGATGTGGCAGGGTCTACGGGGATAGAAACACAGGAGGCCAGCCATACCAACCATTTGGCAGACCAACTGAGAGCAGAAGACAGCCAGGCTGAAACCAACAGTCTTAGACAAACAGACTGATTTATGGATGTACAAACACAGGTATAAAGTGGTCGTGTACAGAAAGAGACGCACGCGCACACACACAGGCACACACAGGGGGAGAGAGAGAGAGAGAGAGAGAGAGAGAGAGAGAGAGAGAGAGAGAGAGAGAGAGAGAGAGAGAGCATATGACCATTCCCGAGTCGTGTCCATTCGATTTCCTTATTGACAGTTATTGTTATTTGTGGAATGCCTGTCAAAGTCAAGCTGGACAGGATTCCTGTGCACAAGCACACAGGTCCAACTTCATGACTGCAGCTTACTGAAGCTACGTGACACCCGCGGCTTAGGGCGCGGGCAATGAGGCCCTGTTCACAGCCTGTTTTTTTAATATTTTTTTATACCCCTAAAAATACGTATAAAAAAAAAAGAAAATATAGGGTTGTAGGGCTTGGAAAACCCTACAATCGTATATATATATATTTTTTTGGAATCCGACTTCGTTTGAGATTTTTAGAAATGAAAAACGAAAGGCTGCAGGATCCGCGGCCTAGGGTGTCACGTAGTACTGAAGATGTATTCACACTGTCATGTACATAGTACTCTCAGTCTACATATGTTGCCAGATGCTTCCCTATGTTCACAGGCACTGACCCAGCTAACATTATGTGGACTGGCTTCACTGACGTTGGGCAAGTATGTTGGACTCACACCGAACGTTCAGAATAGGCAACTTTAGAAGTTTCCGAAAATAGGCAAAACATCTGCCAAGCGCCACTGTGGGTAATGACAGACACAGTTTTGGACCCCCGGTACACTTCCACATTCCACCGGAGTCTTTTCTTGCCTATTCCAAACTACAGGGGCATGAGTATGGCTATGTTTAGAGTAAATTTTAGCTCATGCACAGCTGTACTCTGTGTGACTGTTTGAACGCGCTGAACGCGCGTTTGTGTTCGAATGCCCACGTTCAAAGGGTCGGGGGCCGCGTTCAAATGCATTCAAATGCGCAGCGCGCCACATGGCGCGAATTCGTTGAACGCGACCCACTCATCCATATGAGCACGTGGCAGACAACGGGTTGGGGGATTTGGCTCATCAAAAAAGAAAAAGAAAAAAAAGAAGTGGCAGTGTATATTTCCATGTTCTAGCGGCAGATTCATTCGATTTTGCGCATCAGATCAACTGACGTACCATGGGGTCGGCCGCGCGGTTGGAAACTTACGTGCTCTCCTCTCTCTCTCTCTCTCTCTCTCTCTCTCTCTCTCTCTCTCTCTCTCTCTCTCTCTCTATATATATATATATATATATATATCTATCTCTATCTCT